GACACCCTCTGTACTTCTCTCTGTGTGCTACCTTTGGCATGGAGTCATAAAATGTGACCGTTTTATCACAGTGTTATCAACAGTGAGGCCTTTAGCGTCATGTGATCACTCTGCACTTTAGAGGCACTCATGGATAACATGAAGAAGGTTACTGAGTACAACTTTGAGGAATTTTTGCTTTTTATGCCTCTTCAAAATACTCCATTACTTTATTGTTAGTTGCACTTCTTAAACTCAGACAAGTCCCAGTAGAGACACTACTTACTGATATACACCTGAACATCAGCAGGAGAGGACTCTTTAAAGTAGAGACACTACATACTGATATACACCTGAACATCAGCAGGAGAGGACTCTTTAAAGTAGAGACACTACATACTGATATACACCTGAACATCAGCTGGAGAGGACTCTTTAAAGTAGAGACACTACATACTGATATACACCTGAACATCAGCAGGAGAGGACTCTTTAAAGTAGAGACACTACATACTGATATACACCTAAACATCAGTAGGAGAGGACTCTTTAAAGTAGAGACACTACGTACTGATATACACCTGAACATCAGCAGGAGAGGACTCTTTAAAGTAGAGACACTACATACTGATATACACCTGAACATCAGCAGGAGAGGACTCTTTAAAGCAGAGACACTACATACTGATATACACCTGAACATCAGCAGGAGAGGACTCTTTAAAGTAGAGACACTACATACTGATATACACCTGAACATCAGCAGGAGAGGACTCTTTAAAGTAGAGACACTACATACTGATATACACCTGAACATCAGCAGGAGAGGACTCTTTAAAGCAGAGACACTACATACTGATATACACCTGAACATCAGCAGGAGAGGACTCTTTAAAGTAGAGACACTACATACTGATATACACCTGAACATCAACAGGAGAGGACTCTTTAAAGTAGAGACTCTATATACTGATATACACCTGAACATCAGCAGGAGAGGACTCTTTAAAGTAGAGACACTACATACTGATATACACCTGAACATCAGCAGGAGAGGACTCTTTAAAGTAGAGACTCTATATACTGATATACACCTGAACATCAGCAGGAAAGGACTCTTTAAAGTAGAGACACTACATACTGAGTCTGATACACGTCATGCAAGGAATGTTTTTGGTTGTATTGTCTTGTGTTTAGTAGGAATTGAATTTCACGTTATTTCCTGCTCACGCTCTTATTTCCTGTCTCCATAAGAATGTTAAACACCTGAACTTATGAAAGAACATCCATAACATTCATCTGGTTGTAATTTATATATATCAATATTCCAATTACTTGTATATAGACTATTCTGCACTATTTATATTATATTCAATTTCATTTTATTTACTTGCACTATTGTACCTGTGTTATTGTGTTATTGTGTTGCTCTGTTGGAGGAGCCTGTGACCTCAGATGTTCATCGTCATGACTACAGTGTAGCTATGCACACAGGACAATAAAAGCCTTGAATCCTTATATGTACATCAAGGACTTCGTTTACTTCCTTTTAAGCACAACTTAAAGTAGAAACCGTGTTGCTTTCTGTTTCCCTTCTCTTCTTAGTTTAACACCTTTCCAATCTTCTACCTTACATGGTTATCACGCTGACCTCAGATCAGCTGACAGTAGTTTCCCTGGGACTTCCCCGTTTTCTGCTAACAGGAAACTGCAGTGCCAGGCAAGTCTTGACATGTTCGTGGGGCTGCGCTGCATGATAGGAGTTTACTGGAAGTGCACATATTTACCATAGAAAGGTTTTAATTAGTTCAATGTATTAAGGAGAGTAAGGAAGTCCATTTCATGCTTTATACTTTAGAAGAATAAAAATACGTAAATATGAATATCTTCTGTATAAGAACCTTGTTTTTCTACATCACTAACATATACTTAATGCAACAATATATCGCATATGGAGGCTTAAATTAATGATTAAATAAAGGAATAAATAAATAAAATAATTAATGAATAAACCCATAAATAAATGTCTAAATAAATATAAGTTTTAATAAATACAGGATTAAATAAAATAAATAAATACATTTAAAAAATGCATAAATAAATAAATACAGGAATAAATAAATAAAATAATAAATAAAATAATAAATAAAATAATAAATGAATAAAATAATAAATGAATAAACAAAGGAATAAATAAAGGTATAAATAATACAAATAAATAAATAATAAATGTTGAAATAAACATTGATATGAATAAATCAAGTTAAAATGTTCTGCTATCAAGTTTGATGTAAAATAAATATTTATCATGTGTTTTCTGATTATACAATTTCTGACCTGTTTTGCCCGTGCCCTACATTCTGAATAACAATCACTGTGTTTAAAAACCTTATCAGCTCACGAGGACACAAAATGCTCCCGGAAAATATTGTTGTGCATTCAAATCTTTTTACGCACATAATAAATCTTTATGGCGGGATTATATATTTGTGAGTTCTTTAAATTCAGCCTCTGTTTATCT